TCTGAGGATAGTAGTGTCTAAATGTTTCAAAACCCAACCACTGCCCTTTATGTTGTTTCTTCTTTCTTTGAAGAGCCTTCTAAACCACAGAGTCCAAGAATTGCAGGGGTAGGCTGACAAGAAATAAAGCTCTTGTAGCAGGCGCTGCCACCTTCATACAATCTGGTCTAGTGATGAGTGCAGAGCATAACTGTGGTTCTCATCCCCATGCCTGGGAGAGCGAGAACAGGGGTGCTGAGACAGGTTGGGACCATGTCACGAGTGGTTGGTGGTGTTAACATTGGTGCTACCACAACACACTTCAAATATTCCCAGTATTTCTGCCTGTGCACACAATCAGGTTTTTATCTACATGCATATACATGTAAATAAATCATGTACGAGCAGCCTTGAGGAGAAGGACTTGGGGATGCTGGTTGATCTGAAGCTCAACATAACCCAGCCATGTGCTCTCGCAGCCCAGAAAACCGTGTGCTGGGTTGCATCATAAGTATGACCAGCAGGTTAAGGGAGGTGATTCTCCCCCTCTACTCTGCTCAGGTGAAACCACACCTGCAGTCCTGCATTCAGCTCTGGGGCTCCCAACACAGCTATTTGGGTGAGTCCAGAGGAGGCCAAGAAGACACTCAGAGGGCTGGAGCACCTCTGCCCTGAAGACAGGCTGAGAAAGTTGGGGTTGTTCAGCCTGGATAAGAGAAGCCTCTGAGGACACCCTGTAACAGCCTTTCAGTACCTAAAGGAGGCCTACAAGAAATCTGGAGAGGGACTTTTCACAAGGGCATGCAGTGACAGGACAAGAGGAAATGGCTTTAACCTGAAAGAGGGGGGATTCAGATTAGACATTAGGACAAGATTCACCACTATGAGGGTGGTGAGGCACTGGAATGGGTTGCCCATAGAAGTGGCTTCCTCATCCCTGGAAATGTTCAAGGCCAGGTTGAATGGGGCTTTGAGCAAAGTGGTCTAGTGGAAGATGTCCCTGCCTATGGTACGAGGGGTTGAAACTGGACGGTCTTTGAGGTCCCTTGCAAACCAAACTATTCTATGATTCTATGAAGCATGCTAGCCAAATAAAAATAGCTGCTGTGCCTGGTGGGACATCTACCAACCATCTGTGAGCACAATATGCAGGGCTGCCATTGCAGATGAGTCTCTGATCTACACACCAGTTGTTTTATGCACAGTGGGTCAGAAGGGTGGTTCAGCCAAATCACATGGCTTGATAAGCAAATTTATCAGCATAGAACAAATTTTCTGCATCCTGAAGGAAGGTAAATTCATTTATATTGTACCCCTTGCTGCTTCTAGAGATATGTACAATATCAAAGTCCTGAGGCCTGGAGTTAGACATATTGAATCCTGATTTGTGTTTATATAAGAAAGCTGCGTGAGAGTTGAGTGGGCTGTATAGAGTTAGGTGTTTGAACTCAAACCTGAAAGAAACTGAATCTGATCAGGGGGTTGTAGATTGGACTGTCTCATCATGACCACTTAGTCATTACTTAGTTATCAAGCTGTGGATGTCATGGCCTTCTTAACTCAAAACTTCTCTACTCAAGTTGTTTATTTGTAGAGTGAGCATCTTTAAAATTATCTAGTCTTGTGTTGCTTTACAATATTGTTTATTAATTCTAAAATATTATATCACAGACGTGATAGTATTAGTATCCAATAAGCTTGCTCATCTTCATTATTGCATCCTTTCAAAGATAATGCAAATTGTTTCAAGTAACTGGAAAGCATTGAAAGCTATCCAAACATATTATGTTCACATGGTAGTAGTTTTCCTCTGTTATATATACCTAGTTACGCTTCAGCTATTTTTGCTTTGAGGTTTCTTTGTCCCTTCAGGATTTTTGAAGTGCCTTAGTGTTCATAGTTATGTTGAAGGCGATATAAACTGAAGTCTAAAGCTTACTTTTCGTGTGATGAAGTGCTTGGATTTGGTGAAGTAGTGTGCTCTACCGCCAAATGTGCTGAAATGCAATATTGTGTCAGAAGTTATAATAACATTTTAGCAAGACAAACTGTTGTGAGAACAGTTATTCTTCTGTCAGACACCTCTTCTTTGTATCAGAACAGTGGAATATTTCTGATGCTAGAAGTAAAAAATTGACAAATCCTTGTTCAGTGTTCATAGCAGCTCACTTAGCTCTGTGTCACAGATGATTATAGGTATTAGACGGCTTTTGTAGCTTGTCAGTCACTGGAGTAACTGAGAGCTTTGTAAGGATTAGCACTATACCCAATCCCCAGAATGGGAACCCAGAACTCTTATCAGAGCCTGCTTCATACAGACATAGAGTAACAGCCTCTGTTCTGTGTCAGGGAGGTAAATGGCTGCTCATCAAGAATTGGTGACATGATGATTTAGAATATTGTAGGGAAATAAACCTTCAAAATGGGTCCCTTCAGCATTGCAAGACAGAGTTATTACTATGTAGCTCTGGGCTGCTGAGTAGCTCGAAGGAACATAGCAGGCCTCTGATTTAAATAAGCAAATAAATAAAACCAAGAAATAATTCAGGTTTAAACTTTAATTCTATAATTACCAGCTTCTTTTTAATTAATCAGTTGAGGATTCACAAAGCAAAAATCCACATAATAAGCATGACAGAGGAACCTGAACATGAATTTCCTGCTTCCAAAAGGGAGAAGGCAATGGGGCTTTCAGACGACTCCTATACTTTCTATACTTTTAAAAGGTATTTTCTGTACATGTCTTCCCAGCACCTAATCAAGCTTTAACTTGTTTTCAGCTTTTTATAGTGACCACATAAAAATTAATAATATAGATTACTTTCTTGGTATTTGTATGATTTTCAAAGAAATATGTCTTTCCTTACCCTCTCACTTCCCATTTTTCTATTATCACAAGTGATTAATATTGTCCCATGGTTGCCTGACTGTCCTATATTACACTCATGTACGACACTCGAGTCAATTAAACTGTCACTTTCTTCATTGCTGTTAATTACATTTATAACATAACATTTAGCAGTTGTTTATGCTGTTGTTTTCATCATTAATCCTGTTGATAAAAAGTTCCAGTGGTAACAATTTTCACCTAGGTTTAAGCATCAGTAGAAGGAAGACATATTTACTTGAAAATAAAAGTGTTTTACTACCAATTTGGAGATTTTAGTGCTTGGATAGTGTTTTGGGAGTTAATCATTGCACTCTGCTTATGACTTCAGTTTACATAGTCATTTTCATCACTTAAGGAAAGTAATCATGCCAATTGCCTGAAAACTAATCTCTATTTTTGGCTGCTTACAATACATTTATTTGTAGCTAGTAAGCATTTAAAAGGTTTTCAGGCAGATGCTTTAAATTGGAATAATGGCAAACTCTCTGCTTCTTGCTTTCCTTGTAAAGCTTTCTTTAAAGAGGTGCACACTTTTATCCTTACAAAATGCATATATGTCTCTGGAGGGGTGTGTGTATGCATGCATGTATGCATGTGCTTGTTCATCACCTGTGCAAAGCTGGGAAGCTCATGGTATGTTCCAGGGGATCCCCTGCACATACAACCAGTTCCTTCACATCCTTTTGCTGTCCCCGTTCTTTTGTTGTTTAGCAGAACTCCAGTGTATGCTCCAAACTTAAAAAAGTATGAGGGAGCTCCGTTCTTCTCTCTATTCTAGCAGGGCAACCACACAACTAGCAATATTATGTACATGAATGTTTAGCATGTACTGGGCTGAAGATACCTTTTATTCTGCTCAGCAGCTAGTTTAGGAGGCAGGTTACCAGCATAGCTGATAAACTGGTGAATTCAGGTCACCTCCATGGTATGGTACGGTAATTATTATTTATGTTATTTTTGTGTGCCAGTAATAGCCAGTGGTTCAGCAGCTATTTAAGGCAAAGTATAATTTCTGAGAACAGTAGCACTCTTGAAAAATATGTTTAGAACTACAACCCAGGTTGCACCCTTTGTGTGAGGAATCTATCAGCATCCACACAGTTGTTCTAATTAAGCCATTTAAAAAAAAAAAAACAACAAACCCTTCTGGGGACCTGGCCTGGCCTTAGCTTGGCTACTTACCACTTCAGGACACCTTTTGGCTAGCATAGTGAGAACATCCTCCTCCAATGCTTAACCTCCCCCAGACTGGAAAGAAACATAACTGGCCAGACCATTATCATGGTCCTGAAGACACGAATGACACCAGAGTAGTAAAGGTTATTAATGTAGCAGCTCACATCTTGTCCTGGAAGGGTAAATAAATTTTGTAAACACAGCAATATTGGATGGAAAGTACACAGTGGATCCAAGTATTGTCTTCTTGTTGGGAAGATATGCATTTGATAAAGTGCTGTGTGTTGTTTGAGGTTATTATGGGGGATTTAATTCCTAGTTTAAATTTGAAACAAATTAGTAATGGAGGATTACATGCTTAGAATCGTAGGTTAGGGTTGGAAAGGACCTCAAGATAATCTAGTTCCAACCCCCCTGCCATGGGCAGGGACACCTCGCACTAAACCATGTCACCCAAGGCTTCGTCCAACCTGGTCTTGAACACTGACAGGGATGGAACATTTACCACTTCTTTTGGCAAGCTGTTCCAGTGCCTCACCACCCTCACAGTATGTTGTAAGTCCAGAAGCGTAAGTAACTGAGAGCAAGAAAATGCTGGTGTTGGTGCCTTTTAAGTACTGTCACCTTCTGTGACAGATGAATTAGGTTAGATTTAACCTGCTCTCCAGACACAGAAAAACAAAACATTGTTAAATAGCTCTTTGAATTTCAAGATGTGAAAACAGAAGGTATCCTCTGGTAGTGCAAAATTGTGTTGTACCTTTTAGGATTACATTTTAGACATTTTAAAGGTAGAGGTGGCCATTTGCCCAAATTAAAATTATTTGTACTTCATGGTTCTTGGCTGGCTACTTACAGACATCATCTCTAGGAAAGCTCCTGGAAAGCAACTGCTCAGGTGAAACCAATGCAGGTAAATGAGGCTGCCCTGTTTTTGAGTGTGGTTCAGATAGGATATTTACTCCCTTCTGCTCATTCAATTTACTTTTCTTAGGCATGCTTTGTGCACAGACTATTGGTCTGAGCTGTATTTCTTGGGATGTCAGTGGTCTGGATGGATGTACAGGTGAGAAAATTGTAGTTTTCTCAGTTTAAGAATTGACTTTCAGGCTCTGTATTTTGTAATTGTAGTTATTATTTTGAAGCTGTAGGTTATTAAAGCTAGAAAGTGTTTTAACAAACAGAAGATAAGTTTTAGCAAAGGCTGTCTGCAAGTAAGAACATGAGGAAGGACTGGAGAATATTACTATTAGTGTAGGTTGAATTTCACATTCAGGAAAGTAACCTTCTTTGTGAAAAGCTGTTGACTAACTGGGAAATACATTGGCAAATTAGCAAAATAGAGTCCCTTTAACTTGGCAATGTAAAAGTGGTCCTATTGCATGTATGTACAGTACTATATGAAGCATAAAATTCATACATTCTGTATTATGAAAGCTGTAATATTTTTATTAATATAATAATCTTTTGAAATGAAATGTTGCATGTGACAAAGTGCAGGACAAACTGTGGAAAGGAGATGAAGGAAGGAAAAAGTCTGGTAGAGCTATGTCAATGTTAGTACAGCTGTCTTGCAATTCACATAATAACACCATTCTCAGTGTCTGAAATTGGTCACTTTTGAGAGTAAGGCTGAACTTTCCTTGGCCAGAAAGGCAGTAGTTGGAAACTGGGTGTTTAAGAAGCATGCACTGCATATGTCTTAGAGTTGTTTTGCCTTTTAAATCAAGAGATGGTGGTGGCTAGTGGGGTAAATACACCTGTATTTTTGTGGTAGTAAAACACTTTTGCTTTTTCAGTGTATGAATGCCATCACTGATTTCAGTAGTTCTGAGTTAAAACTTCGTTATCATAGGAGTGACTCTTGGCTCCTTTGAGCCTGTGTTTTTTTGCAGACAGCCTGTATTAGAACATCTCCTTGCAGCTTTATTTATAACAAAGTACAAGGGAGATAATTGAAATGCCTGACAAGCAAGAGAATGGGGACATACCTCATAGCTAAGGCTCGTTATAAGTGACACTGCCTCTGTTTTTGGATCTAAATTATATACAGACCACATAAATCTACTTCCACCTAGCTATTACAGTATCCTATTATAAATCACAGAAGCAGAGACCTGCTTTTGGTTTCATTCAATATGCTTTCAAATTAAGGCAGAACCTACTTTTTTTCCCCTCCCCAAACCTATGTCAGTGCTCAAGATTATGAAGTATGGTGTCATGTTTCTAGTCTAAAAATACAAGAGGATTGTACTTTTCTTCATCCATGTAACCACTGGTAGAATGAACTTCCCACTTTGTTTCTCATCCTTTTGAGTTCATCCTTTGTCCCCAGGCAACACAGGGAGCTGTGCAAGTAACATCTGTGACAAATTTGCTGGGTTTGCATCTATGTAAAAACCCTTCTTTTCTGCTCTTTTCCTTCTTTTTTTTTTTCTAGGGCTGGGGGAGGATATAACCCATTTGCAGTTTTAGAAATCCAGCTGCATGCAATGAGGCCTTGAGAGTATTTTCACTAAATGATGTTCGTCCCCTGATAAACTACCCTCACTGCTGACAATCAGTGTTGGCAGCAGATTATCTTCATAGAGGAAACAGGGCTGGAGGGAATTACAGATTTTTGACAGATGACATGAGGCAAGCCAGCAAATACTTGTGCTCCTCATATAAAGTCTACGCAAGCTGATGTGTCTGATGTCCGCATTTCAAGGAGGACAAGGTAGAGTTCAAGAACGTATGGAGAAGGGCGACTCAAATAGAGCAGCCATCTTATGAGAAGATGCTTAAATAGTTTAAATTCCTCAGTTTTAAAAGAAGACTAAAGGAGGGTTGATCATGTTTTACAGAGTCATGAGGGTGGTGGATAAAGTCAGTGTAAAGTTACTATTCAGATCTGCATTGGTGTGTCTCGGTGGAGGGTTCCTCTGATTCCATGCACTATTTTCATGTGGCTCTGCTACCTTTATCACTCTGGATTATCTATTGAGTGATTGGATACAGATGTGCTCTTGTTGAAAGAGTACATGAAACGTTGTTGTGGACAGTGCAACAGGAAAGAGATGGTGTGTGGCTGAGTGAATTTAACTTACAGAGAAGTCAATAGTGCTCTCTCAGAAAGTGTGATGCTATAGGAAACCAAGCAATTTTCAAGCTTCCTAAAGTCTTTCAAGTGTGTTCACTTGTCCACAAAGTCCTCATTGTCCTTTTAAAATAAAATTCAGGACCCTAGACAGTGCAGGAGTTTCTAAATCAGTTGACATTGTAATTGTCTTTGGGTAATCTGTTTTCACAGGCAAATCCAGTTCAAGATGCTGAAAAGGCATTCATATAGGCTGCCAGAAAACTCATGGGAAACCCACTGTAGCTTTTCCAAAACACTTAAGCAGAAGAAATTCTCAGGCACTGGGGGAGAAACTCCTACTTGTGATTTTGTTTGTTTGGTTTTGGTTTTTGTTTGGTTTTTTTTGTTTGTTTTTTTTTGTGCCAAGAAAACCTATATCAATGGCAACAGCCCTCACCCCCAAACCAATACATACAGTGAGAAAACAGTACAAATGTACTACCAAACAGCTATGTATGTAAAAACATTAAGATGGCAAAGTTGTGTATTTGATCCTTATATGTGTTCCTTTCAGGTGTTCATAGAATCATAGAATAGTTAGGGTTGGAAAGGACCTTAAGATCATCTAGTTCCAACCCCCCCTGCCATGGCCAGGGACATCTCACACTAAACCATACCACCCAAGGCTGTGTCCAACCTGGTCTTGAACACTGCCAGGGATGGAGCATTCACAACCTCCCTGGGCAACCTATTCCAGTGCCTCACCACCCTAACAGGAAAGAATTTCCTCCTTATATCCAATCTAAACTTCCCCTGTTTAAGTTTTAACCCATTACCCCTTGTCCTATCACTACAGTCCCTAATGAAGAGTCCCTCCCCACCATCCCTATAGGCCCCCTTCAGATAGTGGAAGGCTGCTATGAGGTCTCCGCGCAACCTTCTCTTCTCCAGGCTGAACAGCCCCAACTGTGCCCACTGCAAGCATTAGATAACGTGGTGTAATAGAAGACAGGCGTAATGTCAATGAAATAGTGAAGTTGGAAAATATGAATTGTCTAGATTAGGCTGTATAAACACACTACTCAGTGTATTTGTCCTTTCAAAATTAATTTAAGAAATTCAACGTATGTAGACTGAAATGTCCATATATCATTTGTAGCCTATGAGGCAGATAAGAATAGTGTGCCTTTCTAGGTCGCTCTAGCAGAAGCAAGCATGCTGCAGCCTCAGTGGATGGTGCTGCAGCTTAAAAGCAGGGAGCTCTCACCTCTGTGCTTGCATATGCGTAACTTTGTTTCTGCTGGGTGTCATCTGGAGTGTGCAGTATTTGGGTTCCCTCTGCTGGTCTCACGTAAGGCCCTACCCTGCTAGTTTGCAGGGGGGATGGTGTTACTCCTGAAAGACTCTGAATTAATTTCCATTTGGGTTACATTTTATGATCTCATGTAGTTACTGTAACAGCAAAGCATCCCTTTTTGAAAGGGCAATAATATATACCAAAGTCCCCAAATAAGTGGTTTAGAAATTAAGCAGGTGCTTAAAGTTAAATGCACACTGAAATGCTCTACTTAATAGGAATGGTGTAGGTATGTGCTTCCATGCTTTTCTGAATGGAGACCTTGTCACTGGACAGTTAAACATGTACTCTCAAAACTTCACATACCATTACCTCGATTTTTGTCACCATCTGAAGCGTTACTGTCTATACAGCCATTAAAATGGTACTCTAACATAATAATGAGGGCAGTAACAGTCTTTATTTTCTTTAGATTATTTTGAATGCTTCACAAGTAAAATGCAAAAGTAATGATGCAATGGCTCTAAATCAGTATCAAAACTCTGAAGCTGTGAACTTGCTTTTAAATTTCTTGCTAACAGGTGACGTAGCCGTGGGCAGGTGATTCACTGTGGTGGGGGTTTTTTGTGCAGTTGTCAAAGTAGCTCAGGACAATGAACTTGTCTGAGTGCTGGAATTCATACCTTAATTATGAAGTGGCATGAAATTATTAGCTGTAAGATTACTGCATTAAAAGGGCAGATGGAGCACAGTTGCTAATTGCTCTGTCAAGCTCACACCTCTAAAGCTGATGTTCTGCATTTAATGGAAAGGAATCCTTAAAATATATATTTTTATAATGTCTCTGAAGCCTGAGTATCAAATAAAATGTCCAGGAGCCAAAATTAGCGCACAGAAGTAGATTTAAAAGAAGTATATTTGCAGTCTTCGTGTTTTTCTCTAGACATTTGCTGCTGACCACTGTTGTGAGCAGGAGTAGGTGGATTTGTGGTCTGACACAGCTCTGCTGGTTTTGTGTTCTTGCATTTTCTGTTGTACTGTTTAAAAGGCAGGAGAAGTCATTCATGGGTCCCCCTACTTCATCTAAGACATGGGAGAATGTCTACAGTGAATAGTGGAGCAACAGCATCCACCCACAAGGAAGGAGCCAAGACAGCAGGATGCAGTGCAGCACTGCAGGGCTTGCTACCTGTTCAGCCGGGCATCGTGCTGCAGGTTCCAGCTGACTTGGGATAAAGATCCCAGAAATCTCAGTGCAGGATAAGCCCAGGTATCCCTGTTCTCACCTGGTGCATATGCCCTGAGTTCTAGCTTACCTATGCTGATACAAGTTTGGCATAGTTTGGTGAAGTCAGTAAAATACTAGTGATGTGGTATGAGTGTGGTCAGAATCATTCCTACTATTTCAGTGGCTTTCTGAAATGTCATACCAGCTAAGTCTAATGAGAATGGTGCAGATAGTGTGGGGAGATTGTTCTGCTCCCATATGTTTTGCTCTAGGGGAAAAATACATTGATTCAAAGCACAGTAATTTGGGTAAGAGTGGGGTGGGTTTTGTTTTTTTTTCTAATATAGAAACTATGTTTGGAAAAGCTTTCAGTAGTTGCACAAGTTTTCCCTACAAAATTCAAACTGAAGTTGTTCAAAAGTTTTCTCTGGAGGTGTGGGAAGATAAAGTTTTGATGAAAGAAACTTCACTCTGCTAAAA